ATTCCCCATCAGTTCTAGTGTTTGCAAGTACTCATCCTTCGTAAGAGGTCGATCCATGCTGCTTGCCTGCCCAAGTCCTCTCGTTTCCTTCTTGATAACAGCCGCAATTAGATCATTAACTTGCTGGGACTTAGTAGGATTTCCACTGCCAACACCGGCAATAACAGTCCATTTGTGAAGCTTGTTTGGCATGAAGTATGATATGGCCTTCTTGTAGTAAACAAGGGAGGAACTCCTTCCTTCAGTAGGATTATCATCGACACCAGGATCCTCGCGACCAAACACTTTCTTTGCAAAAAACTTGTAGATATGATCTGGTGTTAGAAGACTTAGCTGCTCGTCAGTGAATAGTGTATCACTTGGAAATCGATAATCATTGTCTCCTCCTTCATCGACTCTTCCATGTACATGATCCATGAGCTCCAATAGAATCTGATGGTATCTTCTCCATTGCCCTGGCTGGTTCACGTCTCGCGGAGGCGTTATAGTCCCCCCCCTTCTTTTCCGAGCTCGGGGCCGACCACCAATGCGTTCTTGTGCTTGTGCTGTTACCATTGTTACTAGTAGTACTAGTAGTAGCAGTACTAGTACGTAGTAATACGGCTGCTGTCTGTTGTCTGTTTTGGTGTTTTGCTTGAACCGGTACTCGTATGCAATACTCGTATGCGATACTCGTATGCAATACTCGTAGGCCTGCGATACTCGTATGGGAGTGTCGCTGTTATTTTGTGAGCAAAAAATGCACCTCTCGTGAGTCAGGGGGCTGTGTTCTTGTGGTGTGCTGGTGTGGTGTGCTGTGCTGTGCTGTGCTGCTGTTTTTCGATACTTACAGTATTTGCTTGTTCTTCTTGCTTGTTGGGGTTTTGCTTGAACCAGTATGCGAGTGAGCGTTGGTTTTTTCTTATTTTGTGAGCAAAAAAATGCACMTCTCGTGACGAGGCAAAGGAGTTGCAAAATTGTTGCATACTCAGTGTAATTTGCTCTGTGTTAGGCAACCAAAAGAGGTGCGGATGCGACCACAGCAAAAAACCTAATACGGTTGCACAGTATAAATCCTACCAGAATTTATGTAGGACATGTAAGTACGGTGGTAAATGGAGTGGGATCASTTKGRGTATTATAGCCTACGTAGAAATGTACGTATTTTAAGTACCGACAGACTCCTTCGACCGTTTTGCAATATCGGTTGCAAAAATGGGGTACTTGTACCGTACATGGTAGGAGTGCAACCCAAAATCGTGATGGATTTTTATATTGTGGTGGTCAGTAGGATGCTACAGAGGTGTACGTATGTAGACTTGTACGTGATTTCCTACGGTTGCAAAATTAGTTGCATTTCATACCCACACGATACGAAAAAAAAAACCCATCTTTTGCCATCGCACGAGTACCAGGTACCGGTAGGTACGTACGCTAACAAACAACCACCACGACTTAATATTTAGAGGTCGTATCTGGTAAATCACGAGTAGATAGTGAGTGACAGCAGAAAGCTCATCAACTCACCCCCTTTCTTTACAGTATTGTAATCACGTAACCTCGTACTTGTAGTTATCGCACCGAAGAGCATACCGGTACATACCGGTACATTTCGCAGGTGAAGCCAAAACCGTTAAAACATGATTTTCAAAAAATCGAAAACTTTGAAGCAGGCAGGCTCCTGGAACCTATCGGTACCGTACCGTCATGCAACAGCACGATACAGATACCGTATCGTCTTCCGCGGTGTCACCAGTCACCACCATGGCACAGGTCTGAAACACAAGACTCTCCGCGCCGCATTAGTTTTGACGAGCAACTGGTAATAACGGACCGGGTTTGCTGATACGTACTCCAATACGAGCGGCTCTGGTTCTGCGGATGCACAACGATTGGCTAGTTACGGATCCATCGGTTGCTTAACATTGTTCCAATCCTTCGGATCGTTCCTCTTCTTCTTCGACGAAACGACAAACGCGGCGCTGCCCCTGCGGTGGACACGGCGGAGCCTTCCATAGATTTCAGGCCATCGACCTTCCATTCCAACCCACCCCTTCCCACCAAGGATGCCGGCCCGTTCCCCCTCTCCCGGGCCGCCGCAATGGACCACCGTCTCCGTGCCCCTGCTGCTGGGAGTCTCGGTGCTGACCTCCCTCGGTGCCGTTCTCCGGTCCTTCGAAGCCGGAAGCTGGACCGCGTTGCCCGATGGGTCCGCTCCCGGCGGGGGCTTTGCTCCCATCCTGCGGAGCGGGGAACCCGTTGCTCGCAAGAGGCTTTCCTTTCCCGCCCCTTCCCCCGTCTTTCACCGCACCAAGTACACCTTTGATTCCTTTGTGGTGAACGGGGTCGACCTGGCCCGGTTCGGCCTGGGGGACGAACGAACCAGCATCGGGGGCGAATCCGGTGGCGGCGATGTCCCGCCCTTTGCCCTCTTTGGGGACTTTGACCTGTCGGCCGAGCTCGAAGGGAACGAGACCTGGATCGAGCTCCTGGAACGCCGGAGGGACGCGACCCACCCCTCGCTGAGCTTCTACGTCGACAAGGTCGCCTTCAAGCGGTGGCTTGCGTCCTCCGGGCCGGGGGCCGGCGTCGAGGGCATCCCCTCCCTGGCCCTTGCCTACGCGGACGAGCTCTTGGGGGAAAGCAGGGGCCTTTCGGAGGCCCTCCGAAAGCGGCTCCCCGAGACCGGGGACTACGTCGCCAAGCCGACCCACCTCTCCTGCAGCGGGGGGGTCTGGCTCGTCCACAACGACCCTTCCGAGAACACCACGCACGTCGGGAACGGCAAGAAGCCGATGGCGGTCTTCGAAGGGAGCGGGGACGTCCGGGACACCATCGCCGGTGACCTCGCGGAAAACCTCGGGAGGGTCCAGGAGAAGTGCGGCCGGACCGTCCGGGAGTCCTACGCCCTGCGGCACGTCCGGCCGGGGATCGTCGTGGAGGAGCGCTTCACGCAGCCGGGGGGGACGCACGGGCACCACAAGGACGGCGGAAGGGACGATCCCGGCGGAAGGGCCGCCTTCTTCAGGGGCGGGATGGAGTTCAAGGTCTTTACCATCTGGGGCAGGGCCTGGCTGACCGTCTGGAGGCCGGGGACCGACGGGGTGAGGGCCCTGTTTTTCCGCAACGGGACCAGCCTGGCCTTTGACCCCCCCGCGAAGAAGCGCAAGCAGGGGGCGGGGAGGGAAGCTCCCCCCCGAGGGGACCCCGAGCCCCTCCCGGACTGGATCGACTGGGAAAGGGTCGTGTCCATGGGGGAGCGGCTCGGCCGGAACAAGGACATGTTCCGGACGGACATCTTTGTGGGGGTCGGCAGCGGAAGCAGAACCTTGAAAAGCGGGGGAAACACCCATGGGGGGGCGGTGCGGTACGTCGTGTCCGAGACCGAGATCCACCCCACGCCGCTCCGGGGCTTCGAGGAGGTCTTCGAGGAGGCCGGTCGTTTGTGGCTGGCGGGGTACTACCTGCTGCATGAGCGCCACGGGCTCTCGGTCGTTCCCAACACGGAGGTTCCCCCCTCCTTTGGCGGAGCCGTCCCTCTCTCGTGACGAGACGATGCGATGCCTGAATCGCTGCCCGTCTGTGTCAAACAGGCGGGGCAGAGAACCAGCAACCACCTCCCGAGCAGTCCCATGCAAAACGAGTGCCACGGGAGCCACCGTGTGGTGTGGGTTGGTGTGGTGTGGTGTGGTGTGGTTGTGGTGTGGTTGTGTTCTCATGGGTTACCGGCAGCAGTCGATCGCACCCCGTTCGACGAACGAACAGAATCCTGCCCGAAACAGTGCATTCTCAAACAACGTGGGCACCGGTGTAACATGGATTGCATCGTGTTCGGTGTCGGTGTTTTGAATAATAATAAGTACGATTATACTAATAAATATTAAAATATGCAGTCGTGTAGGTAAAATAAAATATGCAGGCACACATCGGTGGAGGAGGGTGCATTGGGTTGTGTGTATGGTCATGGGCGCGAGCATTGTACAGCGCAGCGCCAGCCGCCAGGAATGTGGCATCTGGGCGGACGTGTTGGTTTCCCCGTGTTGGTCAAGGGAACGATCTCGATAGCGATCTCGATAGCGATCTCGATCGGTTTCCTAGTGGTTTCCCTCCCCGAGATCGGAAGGAGAAGCGGCCCGGACCGCGTACAAAACGCCGGGGGATACGTGTTCGACGGTGCCGTCGTTGCCGTTGCTGTCGCCGTTGCTGTTGCCTCCCCGGCGGTCGAGGACCAGGAGGTCGTCTCCGGCAACCTCTCGCTCGGTAGAGGGCCGGCAGTGGAACCGAACCTTGCAGTCCGTGGCCGTCGCGGACCCGTCGTAGTCCTTGACGAGGCCGAGCTCGGCGCAGAAGGCTTCCTCAAAGGCGGCGTGGGAGGCGGAGGGCTTGCCTCCTGGCGGCACAAGCGGCGCCTCCCCGCTCCCCAGGATCTCGTCGAGGGTCACCTCGCGGTACGGGAACGGGTGCGGGCCGGGGGCGCCGTCTTCGAAGAGGGGCTCGCGATCGCGCTCGTCGTTGCGCTGCTCGGTGGCCAGGGCGGCGGCGTCGTCGTCGTCGTCCTCCCGGCACAGGTGGCACATGGAACTCCTGCCCATGTTTGCGGCCGACCTGCCATTCATGCGAAAGCGGAGGCTGTTGCGCCTCATTCTCATGTACCTCCGGCGGCACGAATAGCTCCGGAAGCAGTTCCTGGGGATGGGGGCCGCCAGGGCCTGTGCGTCCCCGCCGCGAAGGGAGCGGGCGGCCTCCGGCAACCACGCCGTCGCCGTTGCCGTTGCCCGCCCCGATTCGCCAGAGTCCACTTGGCCGTCCTCGTCCGTCATCTGGTAGGACTCAAAGGCAAAGGAGCGGATCCAGGTGCCCCCCTCCGCCATCGTGTCGAACTTCTCGGAAAAGGCGGTGGGGATCCCGTACCGGAGGACGTAGTTGCCGGGGACGGCGATCTCGTTGCGGGGGATCCGCTTGTCGTCCCAGGTGCCGTAGGTCGCCTCCACGTCGCAGGCAATGTCCTCGGCGGAGGCGAGGGGCTGCCACGGGGAGGATCGCGAGAAGAGGGAGCCGCCACCGGTCAGGCCAAGGAAGAAGAAGCAGGCCGCGACGGCAATGAGGTTGTTGGTCGTCTTGGTGATCGTCTTGGTGATCGTCATGGTAGCAGTGGCTGTCGCAGGAGGTGAAGGCGAAGGTGAAGGTGAAACGAAGATGCGCTCGATGTGCTGGGTGGCTTTTGTTTGGGTGTTTGGCTCGGTTGCAAGTCCGGTTTTGTGAGGAGTTTGGAAGCGACGCCACTCGCACCGTGCTTTCCTTGCTTTTGTGTTTGCTGATTCGATCATCGCGTCGATCATCACATGATCATCACATGATCATCACATGATCGATCAAACAATACGGAGATTGCCGTTGCTTTTCTACGGGACGCTACACACCGGTGTCCTTTCTCGTTGCTTTTGCGTGGTGCAACTGCCGCATCTTGTTTCCCGTTCTTGTTTCTTCCTCCCCGGGTCTTGAAATTCTCCCGGTGTGGGTCTTGGTTGTTGCCACGCCGGGCCTATGGGGTGCTGCCCTTGTGCCCTCCTGTCTCGACACCCTCTCACCGAGCGCGGAACCACCGTCTGTTCGAGCGGACCACCGCAGCCACCGGCAGTGCTGCTCGAAACACCGTCCCCGCTTCCGAGAGCGAAAAACACGAACCAACGCGCCCGTCCGTGACAGGGTCTGCTCCGCCACCGGGAGGGATCTTGGTTTGTCGCGCTGCGCTGCGCTGCGTCTTTTCGCGGTCCGAACGGAACGGCAACGCGGCAAGGCACGAACGATGCCTGCCTTTTTCGATCTTGCTTAGACGGCGGACGGCGAGTTCTTCTTTGTTTCCTTTTGATTTGAACTTGATTCCCGTTGGTTCGAACAACAACCCCGCTGTGGATTCTGCCGAGGTGTGTTTTACGGATTGTCGTGCCTACGGCATTTCTGGGGACGACAAACATTCTCGTTCGTTTGTACGAAGTTCCTACTCGTACTCGTTCGTACCGTATCCTATTTTTTCTTTTTTTTCTTTCGAGTCCCACCGAGTCGAACAGCCTCACATCATTTGCGTTTTTTCCTACAGAATTACCTTACGGTGCGCTCTAAACAGTCGCGCATGGATACATAGCACAGAAAATCCGACCAGTTGAACTTTGTGTGGAAACCGATACAGTAACTCAGTCACAGATTACTACATATCTGGTTTCAATAATGTTGTTTGCCAGAACCAAGAACAAACCCGAACGATTGTGAACAGTGGAGGCGAACCTGATATTCTTACCGAGATTAATTGGGAAGACCCTGACACCCAAGACAAGAAGGCCATTGGATTTACTAGTGTCGTTACTGCAGGATTCTTCTCCGATCCCGAGTCTCCAGATCCCACTACTTTTACCTGCAGTGGCAGTGCAGTTATGAAATACTCTGGTTCTCGCATGTTGACTGGTAGCATCACGACCCAGAGTTTTTTGTTTTCTGGTGTTCGCGGCCTCCAGGCCTCCGAAGAGGATGCAGAGGGTGTATTTGCTGCCCAGATTGCTGTTGTTCCTGACAGTTTTGATTTTGATGTGTTTGCCGCCCCTGGTGTTGTGGCTGCTACCAGCACCATCGCAAATGTTGCTGGAATCTTGTTCCTTGCTGCGGCATTGCTTTAAGGACAGGAAGAGAAAGGAACAAGAAGAATAAAAAATTGAATACATGTGGAGCAAAAAGATACATTGGTTGCGCTGCCCGGCCTGCCCATAGAGGTGTAAAACAAACCAAAAGAAAAACCAAAAAATGCTGCTTTGCCGCCCCTTGTGGCGTAAAACAAAACAAAATAAAACTTGTGTACATGTCAATAAACATAACGCACCCAATGTCTTCGGGCGCCGGTGGTAAAAGATAATAGCATTGAGTTATGATGTGAAAACGTATTCTTATTTATTTTTGCAATCGCACAACTTTTTTCTTCGCCGATTTGCTCTTTCGTTTGGTCTCTGCCGCTGGCTTTGGATTTGCTACGCTCAGTGACGTGTATATTTCGGGTTTGGGTTTTGCGGCTCTTTCTGGATTTGGATCCGGCCTTACCTCTCCGGTTTCGTGTGCCGCTGCAGCTGTGACCGCGGCTAGTTCGTTTTTCACGTCCTCTGCGGTTCTCACCTCGCGCCTGGAGGGCCAGGTGTTCCCGTGCTTCCAGTACTTTTCCAGCCGGAAAATGTTCTTCTTGGCTTCGTTGTAGCACGGAAAACCGGGTGAACACCTCGAGTTTTTGTTCTCTCTCACGATCAGCCTCCGGTTCTCGTACAGGTACATGCTGGTTTCCCAGGCACTCGTCCGGTCGATGGAGAAGTCCCTTCCGAGAATCTTCCACATCTCTTCGACCCTGTTGGTCAGGAGCGGGTAGGCGGTCTCGTTCAGCCAGGAAACGTCGCGGTAGTCGTCCGATTTTCGTGGATTCATGTGATCCATGCTGTCGGAGGTGATGGTCCGCGACTTGAGCACGAACATGCGCTCCGGAAACTCACGGTGCCAGCATCCCGAATAGTTCCCACTGAGGGTGGCCGACGCCATGGGCGGCGTGCAGGGGGGAAAGTAAAAGGCCAGGGCGTGGTTGCTGTAGGCCTCCTTCGGAAATACCGCATGCGAATAGGAACGCCGCGGCTGGCTGCCGCTGCGGCTGTCGCCGCTGATGACACTCGTGATCCCGATTCGCGTGAATCCGGCCGAGGTGCAAAACAGCGGGCTCTGGCGGAGCCCCACAAGGCCGCTGGTAAGGCCCGACGAGGAAAACTGCTCGTCGGTGAGCCGGTAGATGTCGCGGTTGTGCCATTCGATGTGGTCCATCCCACACAGCAGCCACCATGTCGAATTCAGAGTGGGACGAACCGCCAGCGCTGCTGTGCGATTGACACCACCGGCGAGCTGCTCCCGCTTTTGGGTCCAGTGTTCCTTGGTTTTCGCCACGGCTGTGTTTTGGATCCATTCCACGGCATGGTTGTTGAGTCCGTCGTCCGCATCCAAGAGGGTCTCGATGAGCATGATTGGCTTGTCTTGTTCCCACCCAACTCTGCGTGTTCCGTCCATCATGTCGAGGGCGCGCAGCAGATGGTCTGTGTTACCCGTCACGATCTCTAGGCCACCGTCTTGGAATGCCTCGGCGATGGGCTGCAACCCAACCCCATAAGAGGTGGAGTTTTCGACGCCAACCCCGTCCGAGGCCCAGTCGGTGTTGTTGGTCAGAACTAAAAAGGCATTTTCCGCCGGAAAATGCTCCCGGCCCAGCATGGTTTTTAATTCGGCAATTATGTTCGCGTCMAGGCCCGGATCCACTAGAACAATCCAAAAAAAGTTCTGCCATGTCTGGAACTTCATCGTCGGCCAGCAAAAGGTTTCGAACAGCATGGCACGGGCCTTGGTCAGATGGTACTGGCTCGTTTTCTGCAAAAGGTGAGGCATCTTCTTTTTGGCCCTGGCCTTCGCCGTGGCGGAAAAGCTCCTGAGCGGATCGCCGGTCGCCTGTCCCACCATGAAGCGCGTAGTGACGGTGTGCAAGACCGAGTAGGGAATGTTATTACTGTCATTGCTGTCCCCGAGGGTGCGCCGCGCTCTAGGGCGCTCCCGCCAGGCTCGGCCGAGCGAAACCTTGCTGCTGGCCAGCACCGATGACAGGGCATTCTCGCCGCAATCCGCCAAGGTGGAGAGCGACCACACGGAAACAAAGAAGGAAAGGCACACCAGACCGACGGAAATTCCGACGAAAAGGACCATCCACCGGGCTATAGACAACTGTGCTTTGGGCTGCTTGCTGCGCAGTTGGTTCTTCGCCCAACTGGTAATCATCGTTGCTGCCGTGGGATGAGCTGGGATTTCGTGTTTTTGTTTATTCCACCAGAATTGTTGTTCTCTACCTTGTCATTGTTCAATGACTAATGTCCATGTTGCTGTTGAATATAACTTTAAAACAATGACGTTACCGTACCGGTAGTGAGTAGATCATAAAGCCAACTATTATGGGATAGGTGCCGGTACGTATGGGTGTAATACCGAAAAGATGACGCCGAAAGTAAGTGCTCCAGACACGACGAATGACAATCGACAACTATGTTCATGTTTTGTTGGGATTTTTTCAAAAATTTTCGCTCCAGGGGCAATCGGGTTTTGTCTTGACGGAAAATACCGCGTCCCTCTTCAGCTCGCCACAGGTTTTTGTTAACGGCTTACGGCAGGGGTACGTACCGGTACACGTACCCGTACGTAGTTGTACCATTCGTACAAAATACGAGTATCTTACTCTGCTTGTAGACGATACGTAGTCGAAAACCATCTTGTGCAGAATGAGTCGTTCCCGAATGTGACGTCATCTTTTTCTCCAAGCTGCGATTACCCGTCGGTTTGCGAACCCGTATCGTGCTAAGTCTCAATCGTGCTAAGTCTCAAATCATCCCATGAATCTAAAAAGAAACCACAATCCGCGAGACAAAAAAGAGCGACGAGGAAAATGCTCGGAGGAGAGTGATTGATCCAATTTGTTCAAGAATTTAGAAAATACTAATACTGTATACCAGCAATTGATTGAGTGCCAAAAAAATTGCAAAAGCTTCAGGAAAGATCGAGAGACAAGACAAGACAAAACAAAACAAAACACTCTCGAAAGGATGATGTCGTCTTGCGGAGCCGAAAACACCACCGCCACGGTTCTTCCCTTGCACGGCCATCACATCAACTGCGGACAATCACCGTCTCAGATGCCATCCAAACACAATGGAACTTCTAAACACAATAAAACTTCTGAGACTGGCGAACACAAACGTTGCTACGATGGAAATTTGAGTCATAAGAAAAACGACCGGAACAAGAATAAAAAAAACGACAACGATAGAGACAATAACAATTACTTCGATTTCCCCCTGGTCCAATCGATGGTGGCGTCCGAGTCATCGCGGACACGTGCTCTGTGCAAGGAGGGATCCAAGCAGATGAGCTACCCAAAGAGCAACACGGGATGGATCCGAACGCTCTTTGTCTTTGAGGGGAGAGCCCTGGGCCGGATCCTCCTTCCTTGGTCCGTTGTAACGTCGTACGCCATTGTCTGGGCCGTCGTCTACGAGACCTTCCTCCGCCAACCCGGGGAGGGTAGTACAACCGGCGTCCGCGAAAAAAACTTCTACATCGAGAGCATGCTGGAGCTGGTCATCAGCACCACCCTTGGATTCTTGCTTGTCTTCCGTCTCAACCGATCCGCCACGCGATTCTGGATGGCCAGGGGCTGCTGGGGCGTCTTGGTGGTCAAGATCCGGGCGATGGTGGGGACAGTCCTCCTTTATGGCTCGCACGACTCTTACCACCGAGACCAGGTAATCAAGTGGATCACCGCCTTTTCCATCGTTTCCATGAACCATATGCGGGGGATCTCTCGCATCGATCCGGAAACGGTCGGGGGGCTGCAGATCACCCCAGACGAGCTCGACAGCCTCGGCCGCGCATTCCACCCGCCTCTCCACGTCGCGGACCAGATCCGCTTCCACCTGGGCGCCTTGTTCGGCCCGGAATCCATCGGTGATATCGGCGGCAACAACAGCATCAACAACAACAAAAGCGAAACCGATCTTCTTTCCCACCGCGCTGCCATCGCAATTACGGTATCGGATTTCCGCAGCAAGCAGCTCCTATCCCTGGAGGAACAGCTCAACATTATGATCGACGAAGAGGGCGCTATGGAGCGGATCAAGGGAACGCCGCTTCCAATGGTGTACGTGACGCACTTGCGAACCTGGCTGCTGGTCTTTTTGCTCTCCCAGTCCCACTTACGGCAGCAGGCCTTGGGCCCTTATCTCACCGTCGCCCTGGTGTCCCTGATGGCATTTGCCCTGCTGGGACTGGAGGGTGCGGCGGCGGAAGTCGAGGCCCCCTTTCGTAGGGACAAGACGAACCACCTGGACATGGACTCGTTCTGTCTGGCAGTCCTGGCGAGCGTCCAGCAGCAGATCACGGAAGACGCCAACCGGCGAACAGCGAGGGCACAACAAAAAGCCAGCGGTGATTGACTCCAAGCAACGAGCGAAGCGGAAAAGAGTTCTATCGATCGTACTTGCGATTCAACTACTCAGCAATAGTGAATTTTCTCCAGATTTTAAGGAAGGAAATAAACAACGAGAGAGAGGAGAAGAAGGGAGAACGGAACCCTATCACCAGCATTCGAACAATGTGTCTTCGAAAGGAACAACAACATTCAACCGTAGCAATCCAGTGTTTGAGGAACGATGAGTTTCAATAGAGAAAAAAAGTTATACTGTTTTATGTATTGGACATAGGATGATATAACTTAATTAAATTTAGAATGGCACTATGATACGGAAGTATTTCCAAGAGTGATACTATTTCCACCTCAAAAACAGTTTCTTCTGCTACTAGTTGTAATAGGAGAGAAAGAAGCAAACAGAGAACTAGGTTTAGGCCTCTAGGTATTCTGGAATGACTCAATGGTAGATCCATCGTAGTGACAACACAAAATCCTATTCCTAATTAGCAGTATCAGTAGTACTACTAATGTTATTACAAATACTGATTCTCTGTCCTACAGAACAATACATTACTAGTTGTTTAAATTGGTCTGCTTTGGTGGTACTAGTAGAAGTGGAAGGTGTCAGCACTGTATTACAAATCAGTATTCAATAATGACCTTAACCATAAGGTATGTAATTTGTACTTACTTGTGCAGATGTATTATTGGTTCTATTTTGATCTGATAACATAATGATACCAGTATTTTCTGTAGATTCTTCATAGCATTTTGATTTGAAAAAAATGATGTTCCTATGAATCATGCTGAGAAGCACTTTACAATTTTTTTTGTTTTGTTGTACAAAGGGTGCTGAGAAGCACAACTTTCCCCCCTCTTTGTCACAAGCAACATAGTAACACTCCCCTCCCTTTTCATTGCAAGCACAAAAGGAAAACAATATCCTTACAAGCAGCAACAAGCAGCTTCCAATAATCAACAATAAGCAACCGGCAACTAGCAACTAGCAACCGGTAACCACAAGCAGCACCCTCTGCGACGGAACTAAAAATCAGCACCCTCTGCGTTGCGACAACCACAAATCAGCACCTCCTATGTCACCACCACCAACCAGTATTCTCCTCCCTCTTCATTGCAAGCAAAAAAGGAAAACAATATCCTTACAAGCAGCAAAAAGCAGTAAGCAGTAAGCAGCCATCAACCATCAACCATCAACCATCAACCATCAACCA